CTTTTCCAAAAAAAAAAAAAAAAAAAAGGTATGGCCTTAAACTCAAAAAAAAAAAAAAATAGCATTTTCCCCAACAAATCTTCAATGAAAAGAGGTGCTTACCCTTAAGAACATTTGTATTGTTAATATAGATACATTCATTTTTTTAGAATAAGTTTGGCAACATGATGGTTGAACATAGATGAATAGAGTGAACAATACAATATATGTAAAAACTGATATAATGGGAAGTGACGATGTACATGCATTCCTGCCATTTCTTGGGTGTCAATTTTACATTTTTTTGTAATGGACAAAAAGTAACAGGTCTGTAAACAAAATATGGGGCACAGCTAAAATATTAAAAATCAGATAAATGTACAGACATCTAACCTTTGTTTTGCTGGCTGTTATAATGTTTCCCAAAAGCCTCATCCTTAGGGATGTCAGGATAAAGGAACTTCAGAGGATTCTCTGGGACAACACCATCTGCAATGACCTTATAGTCCCGTATTATATCAGCAATGGGCAAGGCGTTGAGACGGTTTTTCGTGTACGGCTCTACAGAGATGAACTTTGGGTCTCCTGTAGGCAGAATACATGTGCTTAAGGTTATTTAACAACATATTTAATACAATGAAGACAAATGAAAAAAAATGCACTGAGCACCAAAACAGCCAGGCATAAGAACATATTTTTTCCTCAGGCATTATTCAATCTGAACAATTAAACTCTCAAATGCACACTGAAAATAAGGAAACAAAAAATGTTATCCATAAAAGGATAAACGGCATCTGCTAAATTTTGGAACATCTCCAGGCTGGAATTTCCCTCAGCAAATACAAGACATTGTCTCAGTGTGGAAATTACAGTAATTGCTTAACCTGGCAAGAGTTCCTTAACTTTAAAACCTTTAACCTGTGTGTGCTTTCAGAATATTTTAACCATTCACTCCATAGAAGAACTTGTTAGGATTCTTATGTTGTTATCTTTGTTTTACAATTGGACACCTGTAACATAATGTTTCCTACATTACAGATTGTACTGGGAATGTTATTCTTAAAGGAATAGTTCACCCAGAAAACGTTCTCACCCTCAGGCCATCCAAGACGTAGATGAGTTTGTTTCTTCATTGGAGCAGATTTGAAGAAATTTAGCATTAATTTCTGCAGTGAATGGGTGCTGTCAGAATGAGAGTCCATAAAGCTGATAAAAACATCACAATAATCCACAGGTTATCCACACATCTCCACTCCATTAATTAATGTTTTATGAAGTGAAAAGCTGCATGTTTGTTGCATGAAACAAATCCATTATTAAGATGTTTTTAACTTCAAACTGCTGCTTCTGACTAAAATACGACTTCTCTATCCATAATAATGCTTTCTCCAGTGAAAAAGTAATCTTGTCTGAATCAGGGGAGAATTATGAACAGATCAAGCACCTTTAACAAGCGAAAACAGTCAAAAAGAGTTCTAAACAAATATGTCAGTGGAAAACAACAGGGACTTTACAGATTGACAACAGACAGACTTTCTTACTGGAGGATGTGCTATTATGGATTATGGACTTGTATTTTGACCAGAAGCAACAGTTTGACGTTAAAAACGTCTCTATGAATTTATTAATAAAATTAAAATAAGTATTTATGTCTAAAAACAACTACAGAATTTATAAGCCTTTTTACATGGAGCTATATAAGAATCTAGTGGCTAAACCATTGAATTTCAGATGTTCTTTTTTTACTCCCACCAGATGGCACTAATCTGCCTTAAAAAATTGGATTATTAAGGCATTGTCTCCATTTGATCACGAAATACTTCCATAATTGAAAAGTAATATAAAAATATTATAATTTTTTTTTAATCATAATTATTGCACAAATATTAATTGATATAATGAAATTCAAAATACGAAATAAAAAAGATAAAATATTACTGAACAAAAACATATTACATTGATTTCAGGTGTTCTGTCACTTTTGACTGTGAACAACACAAGTGTGACCCTCAAAAAACAATACCAGAGGGTCAAAACATGCAGATTTTCCCTTCACAAGACATTAATTCACTGGACTGGAGCTGTGTGGATTACTGTGATGTTTTTATCAGCTGTTTGGACTCTCAATCTGACGGCACCCATTTGCTGCAGATGACCCATTGGTGAGCAAGTGATGTAATGCTAAATTTCTCCAAATTTGTTCTGATGGAAAATAAACACATCTACATACAGTATTTGACAGCCTGAGGGTGAGTACATTTTCAGCAAATTTTAATTTTTGGTGAACTATTCCTTTAAAACCTAGTAACATGTAAGACAAACCATTTTCATCCTGCTCAACCCAGGTGAAGGTGATTCCTCCAAGGTGACTTTCACTAAAGCGTAGCAGGAATGTCCCTGGCTCTTTTTCCTTCAGTAAGGCGCGTTCCATCTCTTTACTCACAAATCCCATTATGTAACTGAGAACCAAAAAAATAGCAGAATCCATTGAGAAGCAGCAGAAAACAAGCAAAAACTTCATTCAGCATGGCAGATCAAGAGAAATCTCAATTAAATATACTGATATACTGATAAATATACTTAAAAAACAGTGATAAAATATCTAATAAAAATAGACTATGCTATGCAGTAGTTGTATTTGTTATTTATTACATGCATATCAGAATAACAGAGCTAATATGTTTTATATCTGTTTATCATGCATCTGAATGCCATGACAAGGCCACTGACCCATCAATCCAAACAGGAAGTAAATGTTTCTTAATAAGGTCCAGGATCGAGTCCAGCCACAGCCAAAAACTAAATGACTTGCCAGGAATGTTTTCCTGACAGCAACAGAAAAAAATAACATTTATTTACATATTTACTTAAATTGTTACAGTTCGAGAATAGCAAGAGCATATAATATTTATTCAATTTTACCTTCCAGAACTTGGACCAAGAAACCTGGCAGTCATTATAAGAAGCATGTTGACCTTCAGAAACAATTACAAAATACTGTTTAGCTGGAGGCCAAAATACGTTCACAAAAACTGTGCTAACTGCATGTTTATGAAACAACATTAGAGAAAATCAAACACACAGTGTAATGCAGCAGGCAATCACATAAATATACTTTAATGTCTCATAAACCAACAAGTTTATAGAAAACATACCCAGGAGTTTATCTCCCAGCATGTTAAGCTGCTCCTTGTTGAGTCCTCGGCCTGCAAAACTTGAGAACTGCCAGCTAAGTACCTCTGAGAGTTGACTCCAACTTGCCCGCAAAGGGTTACTGAAGAATCCAAGGTTCTAAACATATCAGAGAAGTTCAAATAATACTGTATGACAAGCCTTGCCACTGTTGTCACCTCTAGTTATATTAAGCCCTATTCGCACGGGATTAGTATTATCTGGGGACCTTGTGTGATTTTGAAATTAACCCCCCACCTCTGAATTTCATGTGGTGCATTCGCACGGGATAAGCGAAGCCTGTGATTTTACTCGAATTTACCGACTTATCTACCGGATACCCGGATGTCAAGGCTTTGAGAGTCCTGTTCTATGGTCCAGATGGATTAAAAAAAAAGAAAAGAAATTAATATAGTTTCGTGCCCTGTGACATTTACATTTCACCAGGTTAAAATAGTATCTAAAGGTTTATGCTTGATTTATTTGTAACACATTAACCTCAAAACCTTTTCAGCCTTTTCTTTCTACAAATTGTATGGTGTAGCGATATAACAGCACCCAAAATACTATCAAACACTCCAACGCAGCTCCATTCTTCGCGAACAGGTAATACTAATCCCGTGCGAATAGGGCTTTAGTCATATAATACATGAGTAGATCAAATGCAGACCTTAAGGATGTTTCTACCAAGTGCTGCAAACTATAAATACTATAAGCTAGACATCCATTCTTTGCATCTGCATCAGAAGCTCACCTTGGGGTCGTCAGTTAGAAGGTTGTACCACATGACGGAGGCCCAGCCCCCTGGGAGCTGACTGACATTTGAGATGACCACCAGTGGCAGGGAGCAAGTCTGCACAGGAACAAAAATACAAAACTCAGTGAGCGGTATCATGAAAAACAACCAAAAAAAATCATAAAAGCATTTTATATTAGCACAGTAATCTCCCATACAGAGCTGTTCTAAATTGAATTTTAACTGTAGGTCTAACTAAATAATAAAAAAACAATTATATTTATTATTATTATTCTCTTAACATTTAAATAGAATAATATATGTAATATGTTATTTATTTATATACAGTGGAGATCAAAATTAAAGAACAACCTACAATTTCCTAAATTTCAAGGTCACTGCTTAGTGCTATTTGAAGTTATCCTAACAGGAGTAAAAGGGCAGTTTTTTTCAAAATTAGAGAACACTTACAGATACCTCCAAGTTACTGGTGTTAATCTGGCACCTGGTGCTAATTTCCTTAATTATATGACAAACCCTATTTAACTGGCAGAATTCGTCTAATTTTCACTGAGATTGCAAGATGGCGGGGCACTCTCAGGTGACTGAAAGCCTGCGACAGGAGGCGGTCCCGATGAAGGCCAAAGGAATGACCCTTTCAGCCACTGCCAGAGAAGTTGGTTGTTTTAAATCTGATTTCTTGAATATTGCAGGTTTACAATGACACTAATTCATTCAAGTCCCCAAAAAAGGCTGGTCGTCCACGCAAGACATATGCCCGAGAGCACAGGATAATGCAGAGACTCTCAATGGGGAATCGGTTCAACACTGCAGCTGGAATTGCTCGTCAGTTCAGTGCTGAACAGATATGGACTATGGATCTTTCTCGGCACGTTTAAAAGGGTCATAGGATGCCCATTTTCCACAAGTTGATATGATTCTTTAGGGTCTTAATGAAAAGTCTGTAACATAGTTTAGTTAAAATTTCTCAATGGTAGTGTAAAAAACACCTTTTTTACCCTGTCAAAAACAGCTCTTTTCAGAGCACGCAGTTTTGTAGCATTTTCCTTTAAATGTTAATGAGCTCTGCTGACCCCGCCCCTCTCTTCTGAGCCGCTCTCAGAGAGACTGTTTACTTTAGCTGCATTCATCGCGAAACCTGCTAATTAGCACATTATTAGGAAAGGCAATTTGCAAAGATTCATTAAAAAAACCTTACACTCACTTCTTCTGGATCATGAATGATTCGCGTTAACATAAATGATTCGAGCGAACATAGACGCATTTATGTAGATCGGGGTCGCATTCCCTTCAAAAACAAACATAATCCACTGCATCTTCAGTGGCTCAGATATCGGGAGTAAACGACGACTGCTATGTTCATTATTACATAAACCACTGGGTGGATTTTTATCATTTAAGGGTGGTTGTGTACACACACTGCCAACACACATTTCAGATCAAACAACTTGTAAAAGTGCATGTAGCATTATATGACCCCTTTAAGAAAAGTTGGACTGAAAGCACACTCTGCAGTGACCAAGCCTCTCATCAGTAAGAAAGAATCAAGAGGCTAGGCTCACCTTTTCTGAGGATCATGTTGTGTGGATAGAGGAGAACTGGTCCAAAGTTCTACTATGGAAGAGAGTGGAAGAAGAGTGGACCAGGATCACACCAGCGCAGTGTGAGAAACTAGTGATGTCCTGCGGCCGCAGATGTGCTGAAGTCATTCAAAGCAGGAGCCTCTACAATTCCTACTCCTTTTTGACAGCTGTAACCCTCCAAACATTTTAGTTGTAATCTTTCGTGCTTCAGTGGTTACTGTTTTCTAATTTTTGTCGAATATGTTAGCAGAACAGTGGTATACCCACAGTTAATATTCTTTCAAAATTTGAGTGATGAAGATTAACAATATTTCAGAAAAAAAATAAGGTTTTTGTTGAAATGCCTTGGTTATTTTGTCAAACATGTTAGCAGTAAAGTGGTGTACCAACAGTTAATATTCCTTCAAATTTTGAGCGATGAATATTTCAGAAAAAAAAATCAAGTATTTATAGATTGTTCTCTAATTTTGATCTCCACTGGGGTCAGTAAATACATTTTAAACTTTTATTCAGCAAGGATGCAATAAATCGATCAAGCATGATTTATGTTTTATAGAAATTATATTTCAAATAAATCTGTTCTTTTCAGTTTTCTATTCAAAGAATCCTGAGGGGGAAAATGTATAGCAGTTTCTACAAAAATGTTACAACAACAGTTTTCAGTAATGATAGTAAAAAAAACCGGCACCAAATCAGCATATTACAATGATTTTAATGAGAATGATGGTCATGTGACACTGAAGACTGGAGTAATGGCTGCTGAAGATTCAGCTTTACCATCACAGTAATAAATTACATTTTAAGATATGTTAAAATAGAAAACAATTATTTTTAAATAATTTACATTCTAATAATATTTTATAATCTTACTGTTTTTACTGTATTTCATCATCAAATAAATGCCGTCTTGGTGAGCATATATAAAGCTTATTTAAAGCTGCATTGAAAATCATCTGTAATGTTTATAAACACACACACACACACACACATTATAGACAAAAATATATATGAATTTTCAATGAAGCTTTAAATATGCTTTTGAACTGACAGGGGACCCTGCAATAGAGAGACAGTATGATTACACGTCAATGCCAAATCAAGCATATACTGTGTGAGGCTGCCCTCTGTTGGCAAGATGATGTATTCATACCGACATGGCAACATACAGTACATAGCAAAAATACTATCATGTAACCAGGCTCAAGCCATGGCGTAGGCCTTTTAAGATTTAAAGATGGGCCACTAGAAGAGATACACCTGTAAAGTAAGCAGCAGATATTAGTAATAATGCAGTCTTACCTCATTTCCTTTTCCTCCAGTAGGACACTTTCTCTCTTTCAGCTGCTGCAAAACACAACGATTTCATAAAATATCTTCCCTCTCTTAAAGGGATAGTTCACCCAAGAATGAAAACGTTTTTTACTCACCCTCATGTTGATTTTCACATGGCTCATTCTAACAACAGTTCATAGTTATCACACACACACACACACACAACAGTAAAATATTCCAAGTCTTCTGACATTTAATACATTTATGTGAGAAAAAGAGCAAGTTATTCAATTTTTGGAGCCATGGTCACTACCAACCGTCCGCTTTTTTCCGTATGGAAAAAAGCTTTAATTTTTTTCCTTTTATGCTCCATGGAAAAATAACAGAATGTAGGTTTGGAGCAACATGAGGGTGAGTAAATAATGACTAATTAATTTTCCTACAGTGGGTAAACTCTTTTAAATATATTTAACACCAAAGCCTTAGTAACAGTATTGCTCTTGAATAATGCTAGAATTCAGAGTGAAGTACCAGATGCCTGAACTCTACAGAAAGACATCCAGTCGACTCCTCAACATCCATCACTTTGGTGTTGTTGGTGGGGATGAAGAACTGTCTGTTCCTACAAGGAAATATCAGTAATGTTAGTTTTGATATTTTCTGTTTAGTCACATCTTCCACTGTACTGTAAATTACAGTAACCTGCTATGTAGAATATGAATAGAATTTAGCATGTAAAACACTGCTGTCCCCCTCCCCCACACACTTAGCTGAAAAACTCATATTGAGATTTGGCCTAAATAAACAACAGGAAGTTGGTTCTTCTGTTTGAGGTTGAGTGCACTCACACTTTGCCTGGTGGAAGGTCTCTGCACACACAAAAATAGAAAAGAGTAGAAAAACATGGTCATGTTGGGCTAAATGCACCTGTGATACAAACATTGCTCGCATGGCTTGTGAACAGTGAAAACAAAAGTTTGCATGTAAATGTGAGAATGATATTAATTATTATAGCCATAATAATAGTTGGGTCATTCCTAGTGTGCAGTGTTTTCATGTCCCTATCATAAATGCCATAAAACATATTGACAATTGTAATTAGAGATTATTATTATTTTAGATATAGATAATTTTCAATCATTTTACTACTGTTAATTAAGATTGAGTGCATATTGCATTAATGTCTAAGAAATATTCCAGTTGTTTATTTATTTATTTATTTATAATAATCAAAATAAGGTAAACAAAGCATATTGTCGTAGGAATATCGTTTTGGTACTAATCTATTTGTAGATTTTTACAGATTTTTCCTGTAATATCACTTAATTGGTCTCAACATAGATTCAACATAGCTTCATCAACACAGCTTCGAGTCAAAACTTGGACTCAATATTATTTAACGAAAATTAGACAACAAGAAGATATATCAAGAACAACAAGAAGATAACAAAATGCATTTGAGATTTTACTTGGACAAAAGCAAGTTCATTGACATTATCTTCCAGGAAGTGACATCATGTGTGGTAGGAAAACAACAGCAAAACATCAGTGAATATTATGATGAATATTATGTGGTGTATTGTGGCATTAGTTTGTTTTAAATATCAATATTAACTATCTTGTTATGATCCACACTCTTAAATTTGCCATTTTGTAAGTAAACAAAATATAATTAATATGTTAATGTAATGTAATATGTTAATTAAAAATGATGCGAAATCAATATTTGAGCAAGTACATAACCAGCCAGTGTTCAAAACTATCGCCTTACTTTAGCCCGATTCACAACGGTTATCTTATAATAATGTTTTCTAATTTGAGTGGTACGGGTAGGTTTTCGCGGGAAATTCGAGCATGCCGCTGCGTCATTACATCACGTCTGTAAAAACGGTTTGATGTGATATGAGCTAACCGATCTTTAGATTTAGGGTGCTTTCACACTTGGTTCGATTCTTTGGTCTGAACCCGAGTTCAATTGCTCCCCCCTCCCCCTGCCCCTGCTGGACTGTGTTCACATTATATTATTTGGGTCCGAACCGTGGTTCGTTTGCATCATCAAGCCAGCAGCTGTTTACCCCGTTGCTTATTAACGATGGCGCAGGAGAAGACGGCAAAATGCGTAGCATTGTTCTCTTCAATTTTATATTTATGCTTTTGAACCATTGGTTTTGTTTCCAAAGCTTCAGTACATAACGGCACTTACG